AGGCATCTGCGATCTCTTTCTTTATGAGAAAGTGCACACCACTCATCTGCGATCTCTTTATGAGAAAGTGCACACTAGGCATCTGCGATCTCTTTATTTATGAGAAAGTGCACACAAGGCATCTGCGATCTCTTTATTTATTTGAAAGTGCACACTAGTCATCTGCAATCTCTTAATATAACACATGGATTGTTTTTCCCTCCTTATCAGAGCAATGCGCTTGTGCAACCACGGGAAAAGGAAATTCGCCCTCTTATCTCATCATTAGGCAATAGGAATTCTCCCGTATTTTGTGTGATCAGGCGATCGAGCCCTCTGTCACACCATACCTGTGATATCACTAGGGGCGGGCTTGTAGCTCGAAGCCGTGGAGTTGATCGCACGTATAACTGTTCATCACGGAACACCACCATCACATGCTTTGATCTTTAAATCCGGTCCTCCTGCTGGTAACGCTTCTGTTCACGTTGGCTAAAATAAATAAATCGCAAGGTGTCATTATGGCTAAACCCCGAGTGAAAGCCAATCCGGACACATTCTGCAGCGCTGGACACCGCTGGACACGGTCATGAAACCGGAGGGCACCTCCCCAAGCCCAAGCTCTCGGCCGCTTCTCGACTCGTTCAGCGCGCACAACAGAGCAGGACCGACGCTGACGTCAGCATTGCTACCTCGTCATTAAGAAATAACGGAGGGGAGCAATTTCTTTTTCTTTTCTTCCTGGGTGGCAGCAATGCGCTCCCATCATGGCGCGGCGGGAGGGACTGAACAGCGGGACGAGAAGGATATTGGAGACGAACTCGGGGAGGGGAATCGCCGGCGTGAAACTGGGGGAAGACCGTTCAGGAGGGGGGCACCCCGATCGGCGGAAGGGAGACGGAGCTGGAGAGCGGTGCGTACAAGTACCAGGATCTGGGACTCGGGGCGGAGCGGTGGCTCTGTGGCTCAGGATCTGCGTCTGTGGCTGGTTTCCGGTTCGTATCCCGCAGCCGGCAGAGGAATCCTACTCCATTGGGCCCCTGAGCAAGGCCCTGAACCCCAACTGCTCCGGGGGCGCTGTATACATGGCTGACCCTGCGCTCTGACCCCCATCTCCTCTCTCCCTGTCTGTGTGTCTCATGGAGAGCAAGCTGGGGTCTGCGAAAAGACGAATTCCTACTACAAGGAATTGTATAGGGCTAATAAAGTGAACTGATCTTATCTGCGCCAGATGACACGGGGAATAGCACTGTGATCTCCCGCTCCACAGCCATGAGGAGCGTGTGAGAGCGCAGTGTCTGCTCGGCGGTGTGCAGCTGATCGGGAGGGGCCGGTGGGCACGCAGCGGGGAGCAGCAGCGTGGGGGGTGAAGTCACGTTTTCGTCAGCTGTGAAATGTGAGCGGGGGCGGCTGCTCTTCTCTGGGAACAGCTGAAGGAGCAGGCAGCCTGGTTGGTCCCGTGTGGTCCCATCTGGCCTGTTTGGTAGTGGGTAGCGAGTAGTGAGTAGTGAGTAGCGGGTGGAGGGGGGTCTCAAGAGGAGCCGGGGTATCAGCTTCTACGGCTTGGCTGGGCAACCTGTTCCCCACTCCCACATCTCTTTGTGTAAAGAGGTGCAATTCCCCCCCCACCCCGTGTCCTGACTGGGGGAGCTCATCGGCTGTGTCTTTTACTCCCTTCTGACTAAAGAGACTCAGTTCCTCGAGCCTGTCACTGTGGGACACCCCCTTCAGACTAAAGAGACTCAGTTCCTCGAGCCTGTCAGTGTGGGACACCCCCTTCAGACTAAAGAGACTCAGTTCCTCCAGCCTGTCAGTGTGGGACAGCCTCTTCAGCTCTGGCAGTAATATATATATATAGTATAAGTATATACAGTATAATCCATACAGTATAAAGACATCTCATTGCCAGCAACTACTGCTGCATTGTTGTGCATTTGATAAAAATCATCTTTGATTTGATACTGTAGTGTGATTCCACTGTCCTCTACATCACAAAGGGGAAACCCACAGTTTTTCAATCCCCGAGGATCAAATGCCAACATTCAGAAAAGATGAAAAAACATTCATCTTTTACAGATGCGCCGGAACCTCAGCCTCCCATAACTGTGGGGTGACCAGTTCCCCATCATCATGTTGACATGGGTCCCCCGAGATCCTGGTCCCTTCTTAACCAGACAGCTACACCCTATGGTACACCCCCCTCACCTGCTCTGTCCTCTCATCTCCTCTCTGTCTGTCTTCCCCCCCGCCTCACGCCTGATGAAGACTCCCCAGCCGAAACGTTGCCCTGTCTTCTTCCTTCCTTCGTTCGCTCCTAGGCTCCCCGAGACGCCTGCCAGGGATCTTTGCTGGCGGCACCCCAAAATCACAGGGGAGGTGGTGGTCAGGGGGTTGCTAGACAGCAGGGGGGCAGCCAGCTGATCAAACCCCCGTTTCGATCCCCTGTGTTCAGGGGGAGTCCCGGAGAGACAGTGGACATCCCCGTCACAGCTGCTGAAACAACAGAGAAAGGCCCTTGAATAGGAAACTGGACACACACACTCACACACCCTGGACAGGACACACACACACTCACACACCCTCGCCAGGACACCAGTCCATCACAGGACACACACACACATTCACACACCCTGGACAGGACACCAGTCCATCACAGGACACACACACTCACACACCCTGGACAGGACACCAGTCCATCACAGGACACACACACAAACACTCACACACCCTGGACAGGACACCAGTCCATCACAGGACACACACACTCACATTCACACACCCTGAACAGGACACACACACTCACACTCACACACCCTGGACAGGACACCAGTCCATCACAGGACACACACACTCACACACCCTAGACAGGACACCAGTCCATCACAGGACACACACACAGACACACACACACCCTGGACATGACACCAGTCCATCACAGGACACACACACCAGTCCCAGTTTTTCTGGTAGCCAGTTCACCCACCAGCATGTCTTTGAACTGGGGAAGGAAACCAGAGCTCCTGAAGAAACTCCTGCAAACATGGGAGGAACATGCAAACTCCACACAGACAGCACCCCGGGTCTGGAATTAGAACCCCCAGCACTGCGCCACCATGCTGCCCACCCTCCCCCACCGGAATTTAATGAAGATGAGTGTGTCAGTCAGGGGGCTGTCAGTGGGGTGTGAGGTGGGGTGAGGTGGATAGTGAGTCACAGGGCAGGGAAATGAGGGTGAACAGGTGAAAGGGAAAGAGTGAGAAAGAGTTTGTCACAAAGGCAAAACAGCCAGCCTATGGTGAGAGAGTCTCCTAGAGGGGAGACAAGTATTCGTGCAGAACATCCTCTTCACCATTAGAGCTTAATCTAATCCAATTCAAGACCTGCCTGTCTCTCACCTGTGTCCGCTTGTTCAGACTGTATCCTATCATGGACAGCAGGCACGCAGCCAGGACAGTGATCCCAGAGGCCAGTGCTATCTTGTGCCACTGGGACGTCCCATCTCCAGCACTGCAGAGTCCTGCAATAACAGCACCGACGCACTGCGTAAGGAACGGAACACTGCAGACATGCCCTGACCCCTGCAGAAGAGTACAGTACAATATACTGGAGCTTCTTAGTGTCTCACAGTGTGTGTGATACAGTATAATACACACTGATCTACTCCAGACTCACCCCAGTGTGTGATACAGTATAAAACACACTGATCTGCTCCAGACCCACCCCAGTGTGTGATACAGTATAATACACACTGATCTGCTCCTGTATCACCCCAGCGTGTGATATAGTATAATACACACTGATCTGCTCCAATCTCAGCCCAGTGTGTGATACAGTATAATACACAGTGATCTGCTCCAGTCTCACCCCAGTGTGTGATACAGCATGATACAAACTGGTCTGCTCCAGTCTTACCCCAGTGTGTGATACAGTATAATACACACTGATCTGTTCCAGACTCACCCTAGTGTGTGATATAGTCTAATACACACTGATTTGCTCCTGT